GGGCATCACATCATACACATACTGGCACATAAGCACATGCTTTATAATTTTTAAGAGAACTTAATTGTTTTAATTATTTTAATAATTTAATTATTAAATTATTTAATTTGCCTTGATAAAGCACGGAATAATAATGAAGAACACCAAAACTGTATTCCATGAACTATTTATAAACTATGCTGTCCTGACAGCATACAAGAACCAGCAGTACAGATTCTAGTTACACCAAATGGACTGCAATGATTCATCACAGTAGCTGTAATTTAGGAATTGCTTAAGTTAAAATGAAACAAATGCCTTAGCACAGCAGTATAAAGGTATTTGGGTATTTAGAAGTGCATAGTGCTATTTATTGTATTGTTAGCAAATAGAGAGCAATAGCAGGCCTGATATTATACCGTGCAATTAGGCACAAAAGTTGTGATACAATCCCATGCAGATTTACTATGATTTTAAAGGCAAATCTCTTCTTTACTAGTTCCTGGTATCTTGGATACAGACCGGTCTAAAATTATTAGTGTAGTACTCTGCTTGCAGGAACTTCTGCAGGTCTCTAACATTATTTAACGTTGCACTCATGCCAATGATCTGTGTCTTTTCTGTAAAACAGAAGTTGAGATGAATTTATTGTCACATCACCAATTTTTAACACCTCCATTCAATATTTAAGTCATGAGACTCCTTCATCATTAGCCTTTTCAAAATGCCAAAGTAGCAGGTTTGAAAGGAAAGGCCACTACAAAAGAAATACTAAGTAGTAACACTGTTACAAAATACTAACTGAGACTTAAATGTTAAAAAAGAAGCATTTAATTGGATGCCTAAAGGGCTCCTACAAAGAAATGGAAGACATTTGACAATACTCAAGATTTCACAGAGAAGCATCAAAAGAGCTTCAAAAACACCCTAACACCGTTAGAGGGTCAATTATCACTTAAATGAGTAAATGCTGTTAATAATAGGGAGTCATGCCATGTTTTTCAAAAGTAGCCAAAACAGCACAAAGTCAGAAAGTGAGAGCTGACTTCCCTCAGAGAGGTCACAATTACAAAACTAAAAATAAAATTAATGACATTAACTGTAGCCATGACTTACTACTGGTGTAAAGAATTTTCGCCAGAGTAATTTCCAGAATTGCTCCACGACTTCCCTCCCCGAGCATATGCAGCTGTGCACAGAAGGGGAAAAGAAAAGGCAAAAATACTTCTGAGCTGAGAGTATTTCTAAAAAAAACCCCTCCAAATATATAGACATAAATAATTACTACACAACTGTCTTTGTTGGACTTCCTCATGATATCCCTTGTGTAAACTTGGATTGTTAAGTTCAGATGTGTAACCTCACTTAAAAAGCATTCAAGAATCACAGAAAAACAGAATCATGGGCAAATGTAGACAACAAGATTTACCTTCCATTTATCTAGACCACAACTGACACAAACATTTAACTCCTGACAGTAAACAGTCAGCTTGGAGATTTTTGCATTCACCAGTCTGAGGCAACTTTAAACAAAACGTGGTTTAAGCAACACTTAGAGTAAAAACTTTCCTAGCAGACAGCTTCCAGAAAAAAACAGAAATTAGTGCTTCAGCTGCCCTCTGTTTAGAAGCTACAGTATGGTCAGTCAGCCTGAAGAAATCCATGAATTAAAATCCCTGTTAGAAGTTATACACATTAATCAACCCCACAATCCCCCCTTGGTAGTGCAACTCAGCCCCACCACTGTAAGGAGCAATTATCACAGCCAAATGTTACTTGGTATTTTTCTTTTTTGTCAATGTTTCAATGGGTCATTAATACGAGACACAAAGTTGCAAGGTTTCACAACTAAGAGTTAAGTTCTAGGCTTCATAAAGTACATTCCATACAATTAAATTTCTTTATGCTTTTTCGTAACCCATTAGAGACTTCAAAATGACAAATAGTTACGCAGGAATTCAACCATCAACCACTACCACAGTGGATGTCTCAGTATAAATCTATCACTCTAATATAGCAATAAATGCTTCATTTAAAGAAAAAAATAGCTTTCAGAATTACAAAATCACGTGCTAATTCAGAGCATAGAAAAATAAAAGTAATGTTCATGATGAACACTGTAGGCAAAACCAAGCAGGCAAAGAACTACACCTTCCTAAATAATTGCTTATTAGAACCCTAAAACAACATGCATCTGATAAATCTGAGTACATTTTTTGTGGCCTACCTCATCTACCACAACGAGGCCAAGGTCATCAATTCTTTCTGTTTCAATTAAGGAGTTCACCAGAGCATGTCCTTTTTCTATAGTAGCAATATAAAGAGATTTTTTTACTCTCCTTTTGATTGGTGGAAATCTTCCTTTACTTCCTGCATATTCTTCAACCAGGAAACCCAATTCTATCCCAAAACTCGATAAACCCCTAACCTATAAAAGAAAATCAGTTAAGAGAAGAAATTTATGCTCATTTTGGATTTCCGAGCTGCCTCAACAACTCAACAGAAAACCAACTCACACCACAACCAACTGCTTGAATTAGTGAAATATACGACCTAAGAATATCTATTCCAGCTACAAAATTGAAGAGTCTACACATATTATCAAGCTGGGTTTCATCTGTTCTCTAAAAGTAACTTTTCCTTTGTACCAAAAAATGTTCATTTTTATATCAAGATCACTTCTTCAGCAAACTGGGCAGCACAGCTCTTAGGCTGCAGAGCTAAACAAAACATCAACAAAAAAGCCATTATTTGAAAATTCAGCGTTTCATAACTCAACATCTTCACCTCATGATTTGTGTCTGTTCCATTGCAAAATTACTGACCCTCGGAGCAGCATTTAGGAGAGATCACTCTCTTCCCACCATATATTCATAAAAACCTTGCTGAAAACCAGGCGAGTGAGCAAGTAAAAAAGCCTACCAGGAAAAATTTATATCAAACAAAGCAGTACTAGAAATACTGTATCCAGACCTTTTCTTGGACAATGGCAACATATGGCAGGATCATCAGAACATCCTTCTGCCTGCAGAGTAATTCTTGGAGAATTATGATTTCAGCTACAAGAGTTTTTCCACCACTGGTTGGCAATGAGTATATCAAGTTCTTCCTTTGCTGTAGGGATTCTAACATTAAGCAATCATGCTGCCACTCTGCAAAATGAAAAAGGAATTATCAGCAATCCTAAGGGCATGTTAGTTGATACCAAAATGACTGTGTTTCATTTAGAACACTTTGAGCTCAGTGTTTGAGAGCTTTTCTTCAAAAAAGCACTTAAAGCCTTCAGTGATGGTGACTTCCAAAGTATTCCATAATCCGGATGGACACCATCCACCCATTCCATCCATCTAAAACACCAAAACAGCCACTTCCTAAAACAGGACAACTACTTTCCAACGTGGTTTACATTAAGCGTTACCTTAAATATTTTTACAGTATAATGGGTGAGACAGACAATACTCCACTAGCAGTTCTTTTTTATCCATTAGTTACACTACCATAGAGTGTTTCAATCCCTCGAAGTTGTCTGAATAAATCTTTAACCTTGCTAGGTAATCCATAAAAAGGGCCTATATCAACAGAAGAAGATTCAATAGCCTTCCTAGCCACAAAAATCTCTTCAGATAAAACAGCTTCTTTGAGCTGCTTGGTCTTGGAGACCTGCAGAGTCTGGGCTCTGGCATTTCCAGTCATAGCATTTTTCAGGTGATCTTTGAGACTCTCAGTTTTAGATAAAACACGCTTGGAGCATGAGGAAGAGTCAGTAGGTCTGTTCCTGTGTTCAGCATCTGCATAAAAAGACAATGGGTCCCTGACTTTGTCCGAGGAAGAATTCACACGTTCATCCCTCCCTTTTGAGACTGGAGATGTTCTAGGAGCAGAAGAAAGTTCATCCATTTTTTCAAAATACAGAAGTTGTGACGATGGCAAGTCATCTAAAATAGAATCAGTTAATTCTTGATTGCCACCAGCTGGGTCACGGTCAGGCCTTTGGCAAGAACCCTCTTTGTCACTTTCAAGGCCAACCACATTTTCCGAAGCAGAAAAGTTATCTTGCTCTTTCTGGTGAATTCCTGACTGAAGGTTCCCAAGTAAGACCTCTCCAGCTGCTTTCACATCCATATTTTTGTCCTGCAGGTATTTGTGTTCAATATCATCCACTTGAGCTATCAACGAATCGTTTCCATAAAAGCTGTCATAGTCACCAAACATATCCTCCTCGCTATCGTTACTGCCCTGCAAAAACGAAACAGGAGTCATTAACACCCCGAGGCAACACCACGGAAGGCAGAACAACTTTCAGAGCACAAACGTCAGAGCCAAGTTACCTAAGTCTGCCCCAACTTAACACGAAAGCATTTTGGCTGATGTTGCCATTGAGGACAACCCACCTTGGGTTCTGAAGGAACGCCTTGACTCACACAGATATCCTACAAGTAGGAGGATACACGTGAGGAGAGATGATAGAGATGAATTTTTTCAATGCTAAAGCCAAACAGCACCATACCTTTTCTTACAAAGTACGGCTCTTCCCGACACACACCACCCTCCCAGACGGAGCCCCCCCGCCCCGCCACCAGCCCCAGGATCCCTCCATCCCCTACCGGAGCCTCGGCCGGGGGTCCCTCGCCACCAGAGCTCGGTCTCTTGCGAGCCACCGGCGAGCTGGCGGCGATGGGCTGCACTGGGGTCCGGCTCCGCTTGCGCTCCGAGCTGGAGCGGCTCTTCCTCCGCACGGCGAGCCTGGGCTCCGCCATATCCGGGGCTGCACGGAGGCAGCGCGGCGCTGTCACGGCCGCGGCGGGACACGGGGAGAGGCCGCCGGACCGCCCCAGGGAGGCGCGGCCGCCACGGCGGGAGCGGGCACATCCTGCAACAACCCGCTCGGGGAGCACGTGACAGGGCTGCGGCCAATCGCCTGCCCCGAGTCGGGAAGGCCGCGCTTCTATTGGCCAGCGAGCGGCCGGAAGTGGTGCTGTGGGTGTCATGGCGGCGCGGGCAGTGGCGGCGAGGGCAACCTGGCAGCGCCTGGTTCCCGGTGCGTCCCTCCCGCTTCCCCCCTCTTTCCTTGCCCTGAGCGGCTGCGGGGCCGTTCGCGTTTCCGGGCTGTCATACCGCGCCACCGCTAACCCTGTCGCTCTTTCCCCTGCAGCAGCGCTGTGGGCGCGGCCGCGCCGCCTTCGGCATGAAGGGCAGCCTGAGCGGCAGCTTGAGCATTCGGACCAGGTGAGGCTTCCCCGCCCTGCTGTACCACTGTTCCCCCGCCGCAAGGCACCAGCAGTGGATGGAAATGTTTTGCTCTGGTCGCTGTGTAGCTCTGGCTTCTCAGACCCCGAATCTGTCGTGGGGAGCGCAGAGGGAGGTCATCAGGCGCTGGAACTTAAGGGCCCATGGATCTGTATTCCAATTTCTTGACTAGAGCCTGTTAAACCTGCTGTCTCAGTAACTCGGATGTGGAGCCAGTGACAGGACAAGGACCAGTGGCCGTAAACTAAAAACGCAAGTTTCACCTCAGCATGGGGAAAGACTTCTTTACACTGAGGCCTCCTCCCAGGGAGGTTGTGGAGTCTCCCTCTCTGGAGACATTCCAATCCCACCTGGACGTGTTCCTGTGTCACCTGCTCCAGGTGACCCTGCCTTGGCAGGAAGGTGGACTGGATGATGTCCAGAGGTCCCTTCCAACCCTGACAGTCTGTGACTCTGTGAAAAGTAAAAAATTGCCTTTCATATCTTGTAAGAATTTGGTGCTGGGTGTATTCTGTAGCTTGAGGAGGTGTTTAGTCCTTGGGAGGTATTTCTTAAACGCTTTATAAAGTGTGTGAGCATACAGGAACCTCCTCGGGCCATTTTTTTTTAAAGATTGTTGCAACTTATCAGACAGATCTACTTTTCTACCTGCTTCTGTAGATTTTGACTTCAAGTAGAAAGTGTAAGCACTATCTTACTGAATGATTTAATAGAGTTGCTAGTGTCATTGTTACTGAAATATAAAAGGCTGTTTACTTGTGAGAAATCTGCTAGGTTGCAAGGTATCAAGAAGTGAGTTAATGAAGTTATTTCAAAACTTCAGTGGTGTACTAAATATCTCTCCTGGTTTCAAGACAAATATTGATCAAATTATTAAAAGTAACAAATGTTCTCTATTTTCTTGTGAAGCTTACAGATGTTAATAATACTCTGATTTCAGCCCATACAAATGGAGAACCCCTATAAAGACCCTCCAAAGAGATGTGTGTTATGTGGAATAAATGTGGACTATAAGAATGTGCAGGTGAGTTTGAAAACTACTGTGCTTGCATGAGAGTAATTACTTTACAGTTTTTAAATGTGTAGGAAGACCAAAGTGATAAAAAAAATAATTAAAGGGATCTATTCATATGTGTAGGGACTTAAAACTTAAGAGTAAGAATGTGTGCAGGTTAAGGGCCATATAATGTAGTCATGCTAAGATGCTTAATCTACTAATGGTGTGTGACAACTTTGTTGTTTAACAAATAGAGTCCTTGTTTACAATTTGGCTGCTGCAAAGCATGGAAGTTATTCCATAGAAAATACTGTCTAGCTCCAAGCTGTACTTTTTTCTTCAGATAGAACTGAGTTTTGAAAAAACAGATGAAAAAAATAAAAAATAGAGTGTAACATAGTAACATAAAGCTCAAAAAAAAGTTCTTAAACTGACTTTGATTTTTCTTAATTTTAAGTAGCTTCTTTCCCAGTTTGTTTCTCCATATACTGGCTCCATTTATGGCAGGCATATCACAGGTATGTGAAGTATTAAATGAAATCATATGGGTTAATAATAATGTTTTTGTGACTCTGTGCATCAGCAGTCTTTCTGAAACTAACCACTCCCAACTCTATACATTTTGTAATAGTATTCCCCTGACTTAGTAACCTGGATCAAGGAATTAAAATATCTTTAATTGTATGCATTTTGTATTTAACAGTGAAAGCACATGTGCATTTTTCTAGAAAGACTTAATCAAAGCTAGAGGGAATTGTCAGTAACATGCCTTTCACCCTCTAATGACTTGCTTAGTGTTGAAAATAATTTATCTCTTTAGGCTTGTGCAACAAGAAGCAGAAGGAAATTACAAAAGCCATTAAAAGAGCTCGTGTATTTGGTAAGTATGATTTTGCTTTTGAGTTTTCAAACTCAAGGCTACTTTTCTACTAAGAACACCTCCATCTTATTTTTTTTTTTTGACAGGATTTATGCCAGTTATGTTTAAGAACCCACAATTTCTCACAGACCCCAAGCTATGTAATATCAAGTATCCAGAGTGATATACTGTACAGAAATAAACAATAAAACTGTATTTCATGTTTATATACTTGTTTGCTGGAAATGTGGTTTGCTAGCATGATGTGTGGTTGATTGAGGGGTGGATATCAGTCATTCTTTTTTTTTTTTTTTCTTCATGAAGTCTCTGCAAGTTATTGTGTGAAGGAGGATTAAAGCAATAATAGAAACTGGCAGCTGTATGGACCCCTTCCTCTGCTCACTGGTCTTGCTAAAGCTCAGGTGGCTGCTATTTCCCTTGCTGGGTTGTAAGATGGGGAGAAGTAAACAAGCACTGGTTTCCTGAGGATAAATTCATGTATCTAAACTGTGGCAGTTCATGTAGAGAGCTAATTCTGTTACGTGTTCATTTGATGCTCCCTGCATCAGGAGGGTAGCACTGCTTCTTCACCAGCAGCTTGAAGTTGAATCACTTGGAGGCAGTATGTGACATGCTCATCCAACTGATAGCATCCTCTAGCATAGTCTTTGAACCCTGAGAGAGAGAAGACAAGATGGAACTCTGGAAAGCAAAGTGAGAAAATGTCATCCTGGACTTATCTTTATGCTGAACGGGATTCGTGCACTGGAAAAAAAACCAAACCAACCTGCAAAAATGCCCTGCTACATACATACATCCCTGCAGTGCAATAGATACATACATCACTGGAGTACACCAGCAGCAGCTGTTGGTGTGAAGTCATCTGACAGATCAGAAAGTAGGAGAGTGTGGGTATTCATTTGCATCTCTGTTTTTATCAAGCACTTCCTCATCTGTTTCAGTGCTACTCAGTGTAAGCTTCCTGTCCTGGTCACTGTCCTCTTGGTCTTGAAGTGATTCTTGATGAAGCTGCAATGATCTGGATTTCTTGAATGACTTTGAAACTGTTGTGGTCCCCCTGACTTTACGCTTGTTTATATGCCTTGTTTCAGCTTCAGTGAAGTCTCTTTCCTCTACCATGAGAGTCAGTTTGTCCATGACATTAATATGGTGGTCTATGTTGCAGCAATTCTTGGATATGTGTTGGCCTTTGAAGGAAACAATGCATGTCTGGAGTCCGGAATTGGGGAAAAATGTTTGCAGTGCCTGACAAAGGAGAACGTTCTCCTTTGGCTCTGCTGGGTGGTTTTTGTCTTCTCCTGAGGAAACAAAACAAAGTCAGAGTTCAGAACCTCTTGCACCACTGCTGTTTTGGCTCCCTCAGGTTCAGAAGTGTTTTCTGCTTCTGCCACTTGAGTCAACCTTGGAAAGGCAAGGCTTGCATCACATTTGGTTAACTTACCCGAGCAATTTTGTTGCTTTTTCCTCTTTATTTCTTCTTTTAATTGGCTCACCTCTGCTAAGAGTTTCTCTACAGATCGTTCACTGATTTCTACTGTAATGCATATTTTCTGCAAAAAGAAGAGCATGTTGATCAGATTAACAGTATTCACAGCAGCTGATTTTAAAATACTTGCAAAATCCTTAAAGGTACTCATGGCTAAGTTGGACGTGAAGTAGTAAAAAGCTTAAGTAATGATTTGGAGGTAAATCTGTCAGAGAACTTAAACCGTGTATTGAACAAGATGCAAGATGTTTTATTTGATCCCATCTAGGCAAAGGAGATCTAACAAACAACAGATTGTACTCCTTCAAAATAATCCTCTTGTAAGAATGTATTTGTGGACTTGAAGATTAAACATTGTACTTTCATCAAATGGGAATTTAAATCCTCAGCTTTGAGAATGCAGTGTTCAGCACAGTAAATGGAACTCATTTATCTTTCAGTTTGTCCATGTTTTGGACATGGCTTTGTTTTCTCATGCAGTGCAAGATGTTGTAGCCCTTGGGTGCCTTGGTTTTGTAGAATTGCTGAAGGTGAGGCAAGTGTGCCCGGCTTACCTTCAGTTCCTCCTGCAAGGTGGCATACATCTCATTTATCTTATGAACCTCTAGTAGGGACCCATCTTCATGGAAGAATTCTGGCCTGTGGACCAAGAGTAGAACTGCATAATTACAAGTTAGTGATCCCAGTGCTTAGTAAGAGCTTTAGTAAGTAAAGAAGTATTTTGGGCTTCAGTGCCAGGTGCCTGTGTGAGACAGACAGCTCCTGGCAAAATATGGGACTGAATTAATTTCCAAGTATGCTGGAATGGTAAGTAACTGTAGAAAACAGGTCAATAAGTGAGCAAGGTATGGCTGTAGCATTTGCAAAAGCACTTAAATGCTTTCATAGAAAGGTGAGTGTAGTTATGGTAGTGGGGAGCTACAGCAGACAGTAAATATGACATGTATTGTACCTGTGTTGTCTCACAGCTCTCACAAAACCGGAGGATACACAGGAGCCAGACACTGTTCTGTAACCTTGCTGTTCTGCCATGCCCAAGTTGGTAACCACCAAAGGGACTTTCTGGAAAAGACTTAAAATGCAGAAGTATGAAAACAGATCTAGTCATATCCAAAGGTCTCTCTTTAAAAGTTAAACGTTCTTGACAATTCAAGGTCCAAGGAGAGGGTTACGGTATGGTTGATCCTTGCTAAATGTATTATGTCACATAGCAATGAGGCTAAACACAAACTCCAAGAGCAACCAGAAGCTGAGCAGTGCCCATAATTTCCCCCCCCTTCTGACTACAACGCACACTAATGCAACACTTGCAAAGCCTAGCTTGTGAGCAGGATATCCCTGAAGATAAAGTTAACACCAATTTGAATATTTTGATGAACATCATGTATGGTTGGAAGTCCTGTACACAAAACAATTTGATCAGGAGCAGCTTATGTCTGTAAATAAACTGACAGTGTCAGTTTGGTGATGCTGGCACCAGAGATAAAAAGGGTAATCCTAGAATAGATTTCCAGGGTAAGCCTTCAACTGGGCTCTGGCAACATAAGGAACAATCTTATTAACAGTTTAAGTTTCAAAAGTAAAATAAACAGTGTTACTGATTTAGCTGCAACAAAGTAGGGAAACTTTCAAGTTTTAGCACATGCTGTAGACATTACCCTTCCTGAGGCCGATGTAGAGCATGTTCCAATCTGTAAGTAGAACAACTTTCTGTCATCACACTAGAGGTTAAAAGGAGGAATACAAGCCCCTGATTTGATAGGTGTGACTGCAGGTTTTTGTGAAGAACTCTTTCCCGGAATGTCATGGTCTGGTCTGTGTTACGTCTGAATTTGTACCATCCTATTACACTCTGCAGGCAGAAGAAAATTCAGTTACTGTTGAATCATTATGTCCCTGTGTGTCACACTGAAGCAAATTTCATTCAGTGCAAAGTCACTCTGAATTGTTTGCTAGCAGCTGCATAGTTAAGCAGTTGAAACCCTTAAAACTTCTAAGCCTAATTCCCATCTTCTTTCCTTCAAAACCATGTGTCAAATTGCTCTGTTTCTGAGCCTATGTTCAAGCTGAAAGTGCAAGCTTTCTTCTGTGGTGTTGTTTATTTTCAGCTTTCAGTTTCCCCTTGTAAAACTTTGTTCTGTGGAAAAGACTGAAGTTTTTTTGATGAAGTGGTCCTCAACCACTTGTGAGCTGACCTCAACTGATCTTAAGGTGGAAATTTGTGCAATTCCTTTGGGATCCTTGAAGTGTTCACTTGAGAAATTAATACTTAAAGTTGTGATACATATGTAGACAAGCCCTATTCAAAGATAAGCTAAACTGTTTTTTTAAGGAGAAAAAGGATGTAGCTCCCTTGACCAGCAGCACGAGGGACTATAAAAGGTTTAAAATGAGAAAAGAAAAACCTTGATGCAAGAGGTATCCAGAGCAGCCTCCAAAATTTGAGTGAGCTCCTCAGTAGGGTTTAGATTTGAAAATAAAGTACCTTCTTACAGCCTGACAGTATTTTCTTCAGGGCAAATTCATTCAGTTCTCCTGCAGAATTATAAAAGCTAGAAGAAAATTAGGACAATTAGAGGGCAAGAAATTTGACTGGAAAAATAACTCTAGCATGCTGGGAATCATCTCTTTTTTTTTTTTTTTTTTTTGTAGTTAATACTATTAAGGGTGGGGTTAGAATGTATGGAATGCTTTTTTTCAGTGTGTTGACATTGTTCTGTAGCTTATATGGTATCATAGCTCACCAAAAGTTGCAGTATGCCTTATCTCTAGTTCTATACACATAGACAAAAAAAAAAAAAAAAAAGACATAAAGAACCAAAATAGGAATAACATAAGGCATTTTGCATCTGTAATTCCAAGAGGTTGATATTACTGCTACAGTTACAGCTGGGTGATTTTCTCAGACAATATAAGTTTAACTCTTGAAGAGTTCAAGTTAGGATTTATTTTAACTTTTCAATGTCTGTTTACTTAAGATTCTTACCTGAACAACTGGTAGCATGGAATATGCTTCTGTATGTCTGGAAAGAGAAAGTCATATTACTCTGGGTTTGTCAGCTCAAGATGTGTATTCTATGTGCTATGATCAGCATGAAACTGATAGAAGGACCAAGGAATAATTCTATATAATTTCTTAAAATTGAATGCATTAGCATAAATAAGGCGAAGAAATATTTTTAAAATACAAATTAATTTTGTCAAATATAAAGGAAACCACTTACATAAACTGTACTTTTTGTATATTTTTCTAGTTTGTCAACTGAAAAATCAAGCTGGGTACTTTATCTTTTTCTCCTTTCTGCTGGGTGCAGGAGTAGTATGTAGTAGGAAGTATTTCACTTGAGTTACTCCACTCCAATCACATCAAGAGGATAACGAAAAATACATCTGGCATCTGCTTAGTGAAATTATTAAAGAGCTTGCAGCCTTCATGCACAAAATTTTGTCAACTCCAAATGAGGTAATAGATACTAATACGTTACAGTTCACATCACTGATAGACTAAGCTCTTCTAGGGCAACTGTAGTCTAGGACTAGAGTTTAATGTAGCCAAGACAAAGGTCTAAACCCCAAGTTATGTTTAATGTAACAAGATATGCGGCAAGATATTATCCATTCAAGGAGCTAAGAACTATTATTTCTGTTAAATTACTCTGTTTTCTGCAGCAAAATTGTAATTTTTTAGCAGTTAAAATGTTACAAAATAACCCTTCCATGTGTTTTGGTTGTTTGGTTTTTTTTTTCCATCAGTGAAGCGTGTAGGACCTTGGAGCTTTGATCTTTCTGTGGGATTTTCACTGCTGTCCCTCAAAACTGAAAACTGTCATTTACTGCCCAAAACCAAGGAGGCTATGAAAAATGTAGACACACTAACCGATTGTATAAACAACTTCAACATCATCCATTTGGGAGTCTGTAATGCTGTTCTTGGCTTCACCTTTCACATCTCCGAGAAGAAAACCTTCCTTTAGAGGGGAAGAGGGAAAAAAAAATCACATGAACAGTAGCATTGAACAGACACTTCTGCTCTCCTCGGCGCTGGTGCAGCCTCGCCCCCTGTCCTGTGTGCATTTTTGAGTGCCACAATGTAAGAAAAATACAAAGCTATTAGAAAGTATCCAAGGCATGGCTGTGGAGATGGAGGGTCTAGAGGAGCAGCCACAGCAGGAGTGGCTGAGGTCACACAGTCTGTTTAGGCTGGAGGGGAGACTTCATTGCAGTCTACAGCTGCCTCAAGAGGAAAAGTGGAGCGACAGACACTGATCTCTTCCCTCCGCCCACCGTGACAGGACCCGAGGGAGCGGCATGAAGCTGAGTTGGGGGAGGTTGAGGTTGGATAGCAAAAAAAGGGTTTTTCCCCAGAGGGTGTTTGGGCAGTGGAACAGGCTCCCCAGGGAAGTGTCACAGCACCAAAGCCTGGCAGAGTTCAGGAAGCGTTTGGACAGCACTCTCACAGGGACATGGTGGGATTCTTGGGGTGTCCTCTGCGAGATCCTAAAGTTGAGCTACATGATCCTTGTGGGTCTCCTCTAATTCTATCATGATTCTCTAATAGTAAGTGCTGTCTTCAGGAACGGGAAAATTCTGTCAAAACGAACTTTATATATGTATATATTTTTTCTTTTTTTAAACAGAGTGGGTTCTGATTCATTTTTCAGTGCTAGCCCGCAGTCAGGAAGGAATCCCCAGCGAGGCAGTGCAGTGTCCGGCTGGGTTGGCTGACGGAGCCCGAGCAGCCCGCGGCCGTGCGGTGCCGCCCGCCGAGGCTGGGACCGGGCAGGGCGGACACGGCGCTGCAGCCGCCGCTCGCCTCGCTCGAGCACCGTGGGGAACACCCGCGTTTCTCCGCCGCTCGCACACAAAGCGGCTCCCGGGCGCGGCGCGGCGGGACAGCCCCGAGCCCGGGCGCTCTCCCAGCAGGGCCGGGGCAGGGGACGCCCGGCGGCAGCGCGGCCCGCCCCTCCCTCCTCTCCCCACGATCCGGCCCGGCCCGGCCCGGCCCTCCCGCGGCACCCACCGTGTCCGAGTCGGTGCTGAGGTGCTGGAAGGCGAGGGCGCCGAACACGAAGCCCGAGAGCAGGGCCGAGGTGCTCTCGCCCTCCATGCCAGCAATGGCGGGCTGGGCCTCAGGCGGGCGGGCGGGAGCCCCCAGCGGCCGCGGGAGGCAGCGCCGGCCCCGGCCCGGCCCGGCCCGGCCCGCAGGGAGCGCGGCCCCGCGGCGGGCCCGGATCGGATCTCTCCTCAGCTGCAAAATGCGGAACTCGGAAACACGTTCTCAGGAGATGTTTGAGCTTGGTCTGCTATCAAACCTGGTCAGCAAGAAGGGAGATTTAATCCGTGAAACGGTCACAGAACCAATTAGGTTGGAAAAGACCTCTGAGATCATCATCAAGCCCAGGCCGTGACTGAACACCACGATGTCAAACAGGCCATGGCATTGATTACCACGTCCAGGCTTTCCATAAACACCTTCAGGGATAGTGACTCCGCCACCTCCCTGGGCATCTCATTCCATTGTCTAATCACCATTTCTGTGAAGAAATTCTTCCTGATGTTCAACGTAAACCTCCCGTGGTGCAGCTTAAGACTTGTGATAATTGATAAAAGATTCGTGTTAATCACAAAAGTATTGGGGTTTGTATAAACCAGAATACTAAGCTCTGAAGTGAAGCATGGACACTGGATAAAGGAAATTATATGATTAAATCATTCTGTTTTAAATCACTTTATGTTATGTTATGTTATGTTAAGTTTTCCAAATAAGTTGCATTTGCTACCAGCTTGCAAAATCAGACTTCCCGATAGCCCTTCCTGCCTTTGTTTGATCAATGCTGCCTATCTCAAGGACCAGACTTCCAGATTTCGCTGGTGGTTATCGACAAGGAGCAGATGGTTATCTGTGAGACTGACTATCGCTGGAGTTTTTGTGAATTTGTATAAGGATGTTTATTCGACCACCACTGCTTACCTGGCAAAATTATGACAGCAGAAAAACCAAAAATTACTGATTACAATGAGAAACCATAGTATAAGAAGAGGCTTTGGGCCAGGGTTCAGTGGGGCGTGGTGTGGGCAGTGACCCCTCATGTTCCCCAGCGTGCTGCTTGTTCTGTCTATATCAAATAAAACAATCTAAATTTTGCTGAATATCAAGACTTTTGTTTCTTATTTATAACAGACTGTAAGATAGCAGCTAACAAGCAAGCTCTGAGTCATGTCAATGTGTTAGAAAGACAAATTACTCGTTGGTAGAATTGTCTTTTTAAGGTTTAGAGCTGGACATGCTTCAGTGTTCGCATCCGGGAAAGACTAACAAAGCTTGGGAAGAAGGATGCCCATTGATACTGGATACAAAGAATGCTGAATTTAGGGGCAGTTCAAGGGTTTGTCCCGAGGATGAATCAAGCTGTCCTCAGCCATTGCTCCCAGTCCCCAGTCCCCAGTCTGCAAGCTCTGTGCCGAAGGACAGGATCTGTGCAGATGGAAGCACCTCACTGAGCTGCACTAGGAGCTTTAGTTTGATGCTTTCACCAAAACACCAGCATTTAAACTGGGCTGCTGGGCCCACATCATCCCACTGCGAGTGAGGGTGGAGCAAGCTGTGCTCCCATGTCCCGAGTAGGAGATTGTGTCATGCCAGCCTGCAGTATGCAAGGCATGGCACTGGCTGAGCTCCTGTCCATACCAAGGCTGTGCCTTTCCAAATAGGACATGCAGCTGTGAGTATGTCTGGAGGTGTACTGCGCTCCTGGAGAATGTGGGGAGAGTCTTCTGAGTTAATAACCTAATAAAATGTGATAAGGATGTAATAAAAGGATAATGCTAAATAATGATCTGACAGCAGTAACTTGTACCGCTTCTTCCTCAGACACAGACTGTTTGCAGAATGTGTGTTTTGTATTTGTTGAGTTGTCACGTCTTACTTCTTTTTAATACTTGTAATAACCTTATTTTTTTTCCCATTCTAGAAAGTGTTCAAGTTATATCAGTCAGAAGAAAGCCCTAGAAAACAATTTCAGGAAAAGATAGTTACAAGTGACAACATTCTTTGAAATGTGATCTGGTCTAAAGGCCGCAGGAGTGTTACTCTTTTACTTCAGGAGAGCAAATGTTCAATTTTGTCCCTCATCAGAACTATAGGTAAGCACATTCTTAGCCTTAGACGTTAATTTCCTGACTCTTGAAATAGGATGTGTAGACCTGTGGTCTTTCAAGAGATATTTCCATGCTTTTTAGGTCTCACATATATTTTTTTAGGTTGCATATAAAATTAATATTTTCAGTGTGGTTTCTTTTCCCTTAATTTTTTTTTTGCAAGATTTAGAAGGAGAATGGTTAGTTTTGGCATATTTACATTTAAATAAAATTCCTTAAATATAAAATATATGTGAATGATGCCAGTATTTAGAAGGGAAAACTGCAGTGATTCTTAATTATTGTTAAGTGGAGAGAGGGACCAGGTAAGACTTTGATTTCTCAACACACTCATAAATGATCTAGATCTCTGAATAAGGGGATGACAAGCCTCTGGGTGGTACAGAATGATGGACAAGGTTGATGGGAAAGAACCAAAATGCATTTCTTGCAATGCAGACCATGTGGTGTTAAACAAATGGTGTTAAGTACAACACATCTCAAGGGATATATTACAACAAATTATTCCATTATGGACTATGTTGCTGTGGTAGAGGCAACAAGAACAGATGCTATGACAAACTTCTATAGCTGTTCGGGGAGAAAATACTGAAAGTGGACACAGAATGCTGACCCAATTCAGGAATTCTCCCAAAGGACTCTGTGCTGTCCTTGCAGTCACTCCTAAGCCAGAGCTGTGAGAAAATTGTATGAATTTAATCAATGCAATAAGTGTTAGGCATTGACAAATTAATTTATTGCGTTTTGTCAATGGTACACAAACTATATACAAGATTTGTATGGACAGTATATGAGGTATGTATTGACAGCCATGCTATGCCTACACATCTGTGGGTATTTACACATTGCTGAGGCGAACAAATGTAATCAGAACATGTAGTGGATTTCCCTGTTTTGAGATACAAAGACTCAAGCCTGTGGTAAGCCAAAGAATACAATAAATAACTTTCTATAATTGTTGAATTTATCTTGTGTGGAAACAATAGTGCTTCTGTGGTCAGGAGCTAAATGTGTTACACACACACTGAGTGATACAGTTATTAAAGATACTTCTTCATAATTGGTCTGCTGATGGCCAAAGATAAAGTGTAACTAGCACAATCTTACTGTGGTCAGATACAAACACACTCCTGTTTGGTGGCATAGATGGAATCTGTAGAGACCTAAAGAGCAGCAGACATAGCTCAATTAGAGTGAGAATGCAGAGGAACACATATTTGCACTTCAGTGCATGAAGACAGTGTGTTTTCCATAAATAAATATTGCACCTGACACTGCTTACCATGCAATAGGTGACCTCTAAGGTTATTCTGGCCTTTTGGAGGATTTTCCACAAATGAAGCATGAACCTCAGTCTTGATAAATACAAAAACAAAACTACCAGAGATATTTCACCCTTGAGTAGCAATTAGGTAAGGAGTGTGATGAATGTGGGGTTGAAACACTGAGAAGACATAAGCACAACTAAAACCGGCTTTTTGTTGTTGTTATAGCTGGTTAAAGTTTAGTTGAAAAAGAGATGTTCTTAGTAGTTTTAATTCTGAGTACATTCATGAGAATCACTGGGGTGTAGACTGTTCTGATCAGCCCTGTTTGAAGAGTTTCTTATCCTGTAAAACATAATCCCGGTATCCCTGGATGTTAAGTGACGCTGGCAAATCAGCCCAGGTTTGCTATCTGACTCTGTGCCATTGACTTACAAGGCTTTTCTAAATAGATCAGTCTGCTTTGTAGCATGGCAAAACTCACAGAGAAATACCAGGGAGCCCTACAACTGGAGTCAGAAGAATAATTTCAGCAGTATTAACAGCTTACTGTGCCTAATGGCAATGTCAGGATGCACTTCTGTACACTGGATGCAAGCAGCTTTTGACAATGTTGCTACTCCAAACAGGTAAAAATTATACCCTGTGTGTTTTCTATAAAAAGGATCAAGTGATAGAAGGTTGACCTTGATTGTCAGTCATGATCGTTGTCATTTGCCTCAGGTAGAAATAGCTCTTTATTAACCCTTAGGGAGTGTGTTATGTGTTACCTCAGCTTCTGAAGCACCACCTGGCTGAAGCTGAGGTGTCAGTGCTGCTTTGGAGCAGTATCTGCTGGGGACATGAGATGTTTTTGGCTGGTCTAATAAGAAAGGTGGTACAAGAAAGGCAGGCTGCAAACTCTCCCCTGACATCCCCCTGGAGACATTGGAATGGTTAATGTTGGACATGAAGGAAGCATACCTTGGAAAGAGTGGTTGCCAAAATTTCTGTGACTCTGTGATTCCTTCTTTTTAATGACCATGGCAAGTCTTATTTCCAGGCTGTGTTCCCCTGTGTATCAGAGGGGAGAAAACCATAGTGGCATTTCTTGAAAGATACCACCTACCATTTTGATATTACAGTTTGATATCTGTTCACAATTTATATGAACCTGCTTAAAAGCTGACTGCTGTATAACCATTGCTGTGCAGGAAAGGGCTGTTTTCACCTGATTTAACCCTTCCATGTGAGGCACTACAGATAGACACAGGTCAGTGCTGTGTTTGCTTCTTCTTGCACCGAAAAAATAAATGGGTCGTAATTCCGGTTCCCTCCGACAATTGGCAGTTTGGCAATAGGCAATGTTTTGCAACATGAAATTAGTGGAATGACCTCAAGGTATCTAGAACCTAGAGTGGGCAGCTGATGCCCATTCCATCTCCTTGACATTTCCCTAGGAGACCATGAATTGTTTCAAGTGAATTTCTTATGCTTGTGGGTGTCAATTTGAGATTTGTTAAATTAAAGGGAGCTCTGCTCTTGGATTTCTCCTATGTCAGCCACATTGCTTTCTCCTAAGTTGGATTCCATTCTTCCAAATGGACAGAGAGTTTTACACATTTTCTGGTGGCTTTTCCTGACATATGGGGTACTTCATCATAAAAAAGTGCTTGTAGTTATTTGTTATAAATTCATCAGCTATGATTTCCTGGACCTCACAAATGAGTGCCACGTTCTGTTGCTGCATGTTTATTTGAATTATTTGCAATATCTGCCCACTTCTGGATAAAGCCTCTCTCACAGCTTCAAAACAGATGTGATTGCAGCAGACTGGCTGTTGGTAAGAGGGACAAAAAAGGCAGAAGATTGACATGCAGAAGCACTCTTTAGTCAGTGGATGGCAGAACTAATTCTAAAAGAAATTATTTTGCTGAGGAAGTTTATGTAGCCACATTACAAACTGTAGTTATTCAGCTTAGTGTTGGATGTGTATCTACTCACATTGGAATTTGACAAAAATTGCATTTCTTGGCTCTTCTGAAGAAATAATAATAATAATAATAATAATAATAATAATAACAATAATAATAATAATAGTAGTAGTAGTAGTAGTAGTAGTAGTAGTAGTAATGGGGTGCAAAAAGCTATGCCAAATTTCTGACCAAAAAATAGGAAGCTATGTTATGCCTGGAGAAATAAAGAATTTCCTTTCTTCTTCACATCATGAACAAGTTCATTACCTTCATTCAGGGCAGAGATAAAGTTCAAATCCATATTCACTTCTATAGCAGTCTCAAGTGCTTTGGAGTTAAGACATACAGTGCTTCGACCAACATGTCTCAGTTGTTTTTATGGTCATGGTCTTAAGAGCAGACAGATGCTTTAGAAGCTTTGGCAGCCATTTTTTGGCAGAAATTTAACAAGATTTAACTCCTTGGTCGTGGTTGGACAAGTTCCAGTATTTGGGTTCATTCCTTAGTGGGTTTTGGGACTATTTTCCATTGAATTAGAATTTTTATTCCATAAAAAATTTCCTTGATTTTGGTGTCATTCCCAATTTGGGTGGTTAAGGTGCAGGTTTTTTATTTGTGTGTTTGATTGCTTCTTTTGCTCTCCAAACCATGTGACACCAATGGTAACAGAACAGTAAGACCATTGAAATGGTTTTCATTATTTTGGGAGGTACAAAGTGGATAAAGCAAAGAATAAATATAAAAAGAGCCTTGGCCATATGGATCTTGTAGTACCTTTGGGCTGGATGGTTTGACCACCTCTATAGAGAGGCTACTAGAAACTTTTCAGTTTTTCTTTATATAATTTCAGAGGATGAAAAACAACTCTCCCTTATCCAGGAGAAGAAACTTCTTCCTCCCACCCAGGCTAGGGAAGTCTGTTTTTCATTTTCTGCTTTTAAGAAATGATCTGTCTTGATGCTGAGGCATCCCACCAAACGAGTCACATCTTCCTGTTCCTTGCAATGCTTCATTTTGCCCACCTTTCCTGCCTCAAATCAGGTCCCAGAAATTACCTCCACCCTCCCGCCCACGGGGTTTTTAGCACCCAGAGAGGTGCATACCGATCCCCTGTGCCGAGGCTGATGGCAGCTATTCACTGGTGCTGCCAGGTGGATCAACGCCCTCTGCTCCAGCTCTCCATCACAGGCCACGCTATGGAATGTGTGTTAGCTGGGCAAGCCACTTGAGGAAGAGATCAGAAAGGAGAATAAGGAATGGTAGCTAAAGAGAAATGGGTGAATAAAGCTGTTTTACAATGAAGCCTTTTGGCAGGACAGGTGAGAAACAGTGGCTAATGGTGTACCTGGTAGCACCAAAGTGGAGAGAGAGGGGCTTAAGGTTTCCACTGAGAGAAAGAGCATTGGGAAGGCAGAAACACTTAAAAAACAAAGCAGTGAGGTTTTATAGAGGATACAGAAGGCTCAGAAGGTGGCCCGCAAGGGGAGAGAAGGTAAGGAAGCTAAGTAATGAAAAGATGCAAAAGAGAAGTTATATTGCTGGAAAAGATTGCAATGTCATTTGAAGGACCTGAGGGATGTCATGAAGCATCAAATCCGAAGGTACAGAAGCTACTCGACTCACTGTGTGGCACAAGAAGCGTGCCATGGATTCCTATGGGCTTCATATGAGTGTCAGGAGTCTGCCTGCTGGTGCCTGGGTGCATGGTGTAAGTTAGAGGTGGTGCAGCCCCCTCTGACAGCTATGCTCCTCTGACTGCCTGGACAGTGTTGGGTGCACATTTTACACAGCATCTTTGGGGCTGCTGACATTTCTAAGGAATCCAACTGCTCCACAGCACAAACCAAGCAATGGTACTTGGGGATGGGAATATTTGAAAAGGACAGCCCCGGCTTCAGACAAATACAGCAATTTAAATATTGTCAAAGGGAAGATCTGGACTGGCATGTCACTGTCTTGGAAGTTGTGCCTAAATGCTCATTTCACCAAAGCTGGTTAATTTGTTCTGTGGGAAGGTAGTAAATGAGCAGCTGGTGAGCTCACCTGAGCTCACTTTGTATCGTCTGTGATGCATACAAAAAGGCAAAAAAAGGGTGGTTGTAAAGGGTTGAGCTGGGTATTTTCTAAAAAGTACTGAATTAAATTATTGAAATTTGATAGGCTAGAAGGATAAACTGGATTATCTATTGCATTTCAATTCTGTAGTTGAATAGGTGCAAAGATAGATGGCTTGTTACTTCACCACAGTGTATTTTGTAACCCTGTAATACAGGCTTTTTGGCTAATTTCTGATAGAGTGGAGGGAGCAGGCTTATTGTCAATCCTTGCCTGCTGAAACTTGCATCTGCATTTCATATGTCTTATTAAAAAATAAAATAAAATAGAAAAAGTCTGACTTGCACCTCAAGCTGCCATTTCATTCATTTATTCAAATATCAAAACAAGGCAGTTATCTCAACATGAAATAGAAAATCTGACTGAATAAATCATAGATTTGTCCAAACGTCGTTGGAGAAATACTTCATGTGTATAAAGAAGATTTAGAAGAGAAGATTTTAGGCAGTCTGAAAAACACACCCACCTAGTTCCGTATTGTAATTTATTGGCAGGACACCTTGTGAAAACCACTTGTCACACTGACAAGGTTCCTTATTGGCAGCATCTAATTATCTAACATATAATATTATCATGTTTTTTTCTTTCTTCTCCCCTGGTAAGCAAATGCTTATCAATTACAAGGAAGTGGGTGGAGTTAGGGCGGGACAAAGGGTAGAAATTACCTTATCACTGACAGTATCAATAGTGTCAGTCCTCAGTGAGCAACAGCCTTCTCCTGGGGACAGCTTGGACTCTTAGAATGTGTAAATTTTATTTGCCTGTCACTTGAAGCTTGCTTGATTTTCTGCTACAGATGAGCATATATTCTCAGATGGGCAGCTGGCTGGCATTTTGGAGGAGCAAACATGGAAGAAAATAGAGAAGGTCATGGCCTTGCAGAAGGCAAGATTTTGTCTGTCTGGATGATTTTGTTTGTGGCATTAGTTTTGTTGCCTTCGGTGTTTCGAGTGTCACTGGGGATTTCTCATTTCTATGTGAAAATTGTAATTAAAATGTTCGAGGTAAGTTGAGAAGTGGGTTGAAAAGGTATGTGCTTGCTACAGGACATGTTTAATAAAAAAATTAAAATCTGTACGTTTGATAGAAATGCTATGAAAGTCAGCAGAAAAAAAATCCATTAACTTGCATGTGTTGTTTGCAGTTTTATGTGATAATCTTTTGAGGGGTGTCTTTAATGATATCTAGTTATGTGCTGACTTATAATCTGCTACTGGTTTGAGGTTTTTAGGGTTAAAGTAGAGATTCTATTTTCTTCTAGTTCATGCTTGTTAGAATGCTTCATGCAAGTAGAATACTCATGACAGGTCAAATATAAAGAAAAAGATCTATTAGTTTGTAGGAGTTGGTAAGTAATAAACCCATGTATTTTAGATGTATATAAGTTTCAGTTGTTTTATTTGGATTGTTTTAATTGCATGGAATTGGTATTCCAGGTAAGAACACTAATTCTTTGTGTTTGCTTCACCCAGTTATAAATCTGGGGGATCCAGCAGTTACAAGTTCTGCTTTACAAGACTTTAAGGAATCTGTGTGAAACCTTCTAAAAGCGTAATTTTTCTAGAGATAAACAGATGATGGCTAAGATCCTGATCCTGCTTCTGTCAGTAAAAGGTTTCTGGGGCTTTTTATAAGCTCGAATCCCATTTAATTTTTCAAGTTTGACTTTTGATATCTATTATTAGCCAGAAGTAGGTGCTGCGAATTCATCATATTGAACAGTGAAGCATTTCCATTTTCCAGTAGATTAACTTTGTGCTTCTGGCATAAGCCTGCTTTCTGTGAATATACTTTCTCCTTGTGGCAGAAATAACAGAATAATATGTTACTGTTATTGTTGTTGTTATTATTATTAAGCCCTTGGAGTAATCTGTTTTGCAGTAGAACATGTCTGTAATGGTGTGATACAGTTAATATCACGACCATCTTACCTGGCCAATTCTGTCTTTTATTCTTCTTATCTTCTCTTTTGTTTGTTTTTGTTGGGGGGGTTGTGTGTTTGTGGGTTTGGGGGAAGTTGTTTGTTTGGTGTATTTGTTTTAATACTGATTAAGAGCTCTTGGGCAGTATCTTGTCTTCTACTGTATGAACATCATTTAGCATAGTGCACGACTGCAAAATTTAGGGGTTACTTATTTTTTTCAGATACTGATGCCAGCAGGCAATGACTGCCTGTGGTGGCTGTATGTAATATTGGCCTTTATATGTGAAATATTTTTTAATGAGCCAGTGGTATGCTAATTGAATTCTTATTAGTACCCTAATTAAGAGCTACTCTCATATCAAACCTCTCTTTGGACAGCTTTGCTGCTGCAGCTGGTGGGCATCAAAATAATTTCTGGATTTTTTTCCCTGGGCATTTCCCAACTTCAAGAGACGTTTGACCCACTCAGTGTGTGTTTTATGTAGGAAGGCACTTCTCTTTCATAAAACACATTAAGTATTTTTCTCTCCACAGTTATGGGCATGATAATTCTGTGCTCAGAATGTGGAGGATCAATGTATTGAAAAATAAATAAGTTAATTGCTATGTGATCAGCTACAGCCTTTTGTGTCTAGTTCCTTGTTGCCACAGCAGGTAATAACAGGAACAGCACAACTCCATGCACTGTGTTTAGGCTGGCTTATTTTGTTCTTTTGTTCAAAGTTGTCCTTTTGTTGTTGGAAAATGCTGGGTTAAAGCTTGTGCATGGAATTGCAGTGGGCCTATTCTTGGAGTCCTGGGGCTATTTCACCAGAATAGGGCCGAAATTGCAGGTTGGGATAAGTCAGCTTTAAAGCAGGCTTGTTTGAGACATGAACAAGCTGGCACTGAAAGCCTAGAGAGGTGTTGACGGGTCTGTAGCTGTGGTGCTGCGTTCCTGTGATGTTGCTGATGGGATAATGCACAGAGAGCATCCGTGGTTCCTGTTGTCCTCTGGAATGGTGAAACAGGATGCCTTCCCAGAGAGCTGAGCTGGAAATGCTGGAGATATTTAGTCATATATTAGCACACTACTGACTATATTGCAGGAATACCACTGCTCTAGGAGGTGCTAAACAACTGGGTGATGCTTCAGCAGAAATCCAACCTTGAGCACTATGGTTGGTGTCTCCATTGTGTTGCATTTGGCTTAGTCTGTTATATAGACTAGAAAAATTAATAGAAAACTTCTCACCCAAGGGGTTTCTTAATATCTGTTTCTTACAGCTGAGCAGAGGGAAAGCATGTTTTATTTTCCTCCATGTTTGGCAACTTGAGAAAAACAGAAGAGTGCAGACTGAAATCAAGGACTTAAAATTAAAAAAAATATTTTTTAAAGTTTTGTTTTTAAAGAAAATATATCTTTAGACCTTACTTAATTTGTTGGGAGCAAAAATGGTATTTTTAGAATAAAACTAAAGTTTTCAGATCTATCACTAAGCAATGAGTAATGGTGGCATATAAGTCACTGATTTCTTGACTTCACTGAAGTGTTTTAGCACTGTGAATGGTGATTGGAATAAATGGGAAAGATGTAATTGTGTATGGAAATAATTTTTACCCTCTACTGCTTTTCTGTCAAGGAATCTAGATACTTGTTCTTTTAGAAAGAAAATAAACCAAATTATAAAAGCAAGATTCAAGGCTTGAAAATTTTGGTGACTTTTTGTTTGCAGGTGCTTTTTGTGGTTGGTATTTTATTTGGGTTTTTGGGAGTTTTTTATGGATAATATAATAGCAAAAGCCCTCCAATACAATAATTTCCTGACTGTATATCTGTTGGCTCATTATTATTATTACATTTAATTTATCCTTCAAATATTTCTGGAAATTATAAAGGTGAACGTGGTTTGAGTTTTGTTAGTGTTATTCTTTCACATATGCTTGTAAATTTTTATTTGTAAATGATGTCTCTTCTCTGAGGTTTGTCTGTCCTGGGGTTTAGGGGAGATGAGAATAGTAGCAAAGCTGTGCCAGGGGATGTTACTCCTGCAATTGCAAAAGAAGATGCATTTGCTAGGATGAAATCTATGCCATGCTCTCAGAGCCCTGTCAAAGAGTCAAAGAAACACATTAAACAGCTGCACTTTTATTTGCCAAGAAAAATTCTGGAGTTTTACAAGACATGAACTTCTGTATGAAATTGGAGCATTGTTGTTTCTTGAGAAAGAGATCAGCTAAAAATTGTGAGTAGTTTTTGCATTGAGAGCTCACCTGTACACGGAGGTAGCTCATATGCTATAAACTCCTACTGGAGTATGGCAGATGTTGCAGACACTTCAGCTGGTGAAAAATTGCACTGCTGTGCTTTTAAATACATGGTTATCCTTAGCTGGCCTCTCCATCAAAACCCAAACAAGTTATACCTGTGCTTTTATCCCTTCTCAACCCATTTCATCAGTCCTCATGGAGCAGCCAGGAGATTTGTGAGTCCTTTTCACAGCCTGAGGGTGGAGAGTCACATCCTCTCAGACACTGAGTGTAGCACACACCTTTTGATCTGGGTTCATGTTTGTGATGGGCAAGGGGAAGTGAGACCAGGCAGAAACCACTATTAGATGAAGTGGTTGATCTTAGATGGTGATTTTAGTTTGTGCTGAAAACCTACCAACTTTTTCTCTTTGCCACTGTAATGGAAGACTTTACATAGAGGAATTGCCCCAACGCCTTTGTCACGCATGAGGAAAAGATTGAGAGAAAAAAACACGTTATGAGTGATTAGAAAAATCTTTTTCTGAGAATATGGGATATGAGGTAGTAAAATATGGGAAGAGTGGCAAAACTGAATTATTACATAGTATGGAAAGATGGAGTACTGAGCTGTACTTGAAAGGGAAAAGGGAGGAAAAATCCTGCAAGAAATGAGATTTCAGGAAATGAAGGTTCCACGTTGTATTTCATGTCATGTCCTGTGAAGACAATAATTAATATAATGAAGTACTGGGCGCCCTCATTTTGTTTAGAATGTAATTACAGGAAGCTCAAACAAATGGACTGTTGAAGTCAAGCTGTCAAGTATTCAGATCCGGGTGGGATCAGCTGTTGGGGTTTGGACTCCTTGCATCCCCATCACTTCAGAAATGGGAGTGAGGAAAGCGCAACACCTGAGTTCTCATTCAGTCAGCAAATGTAGGAATGAAGTTGCTACATTTAATACTTAAATTCTGTGTTAGTTGCAACATCTGTGATTTTTTTTTTTTTTTTTTTTTTTTTTGGTAAGGTATTTAAAACATCCTTTCATTACTGTTTTGCAACAAAGACCAGCGTGACAGCTCTGTCTCAATACTGTGCAATACAAAGACGATCACAAAGCCTTATTTCATTTTTGAAAACAAATTATACACACAGATGCTACTGAATGCTGAACACAGTAGCCACTCCAGAGTTAATATGTCCAGAGTTTGACCCAGACAAACGGTTTAGACAGGTATCAATTCAATGGCTTGACTGAAAGCTTAAGACCTGGGTGACTGTACAGGTGTATTCCCTCCTCACTGCTTGTCCTTCAGCCCCCTGTGCCAAGCCACAAGTTAGAATTTCATGTCCCATGATGGCTTGTGGAAATCTATTGCCTTTTTTCTTGCTCACACACTCTGCCCAAAGCTTTCCCATGGTAAACCTCAGTTCTTGTAGTAGAAGAGAAAAATGGATAACTGTTCCTTAAGCACCTGCTCTGTGCCAGTCTAGACTTTGTAGGTGCCTGTCTTAACCCATCTCAGCTCTTTTCCAAGCTAACGAGCCCTGTGTAACTGTTCAGCCTTTGAAAGCTCTTTCTCATTTTTCTTGGACACTGACTTTGTAGCCTTGACTATTTAGTTAAAGTCTGCCACTTTTGCCTCACTCTCTGTGCTAGGAGGCAAGATTTATATAAGATTATAAGATTATAGATTTATATAAGATTATAATTTACTAGTAAGCTTTATAAATTTTTGTTGGTTTTGACTTGTCTTGCTCATTTAGATTAGTTAAGGTGTGTTTTTCGAGTCAGCTTAGTCAGTGATTGTTACCCTTTTTCTATCTGGGAATCAAAAGCCAGACTTCTGGAGGTATTCCAGATCCTTCAGGATAGTATGAGCAAGCTCATTTCTGGCAGTGCAGGCCAGCTGACAGGTGCTTTTTTGTGTAGGAGGACAATGATAGGCAAGATAAGGGTGGGAGACAGGAAAGCAGAGACTAAGGCAGAAGGCTTTATTTGTCTGTCTCAACTATTTTGTATTTTATACTTTTTCCTCCCTCGTGCCATGCAACTATCCTAAAAGATGTTGGGGAAGGGATGAGGACCAGCAGTATTTTGTAGAGAGGTTAAATTTGCCATGTCTGTCTTTACTCTCTTTTGCAACGTTCCTGTATCTGTTCTGTATGTTCTTTCATTTCTCAGTGTGTGGGCTGCTGTTTTCATGACATCCCCTGGCTCCACCACTCTGAATGACTCTCCATGTGTTGCAAAAGATTGAGAGAGATGATGTACCTGTTGACCTTTTCAGGAGAATAATTGGGAAGTATAGACAAGATGATGGTCTGTGGTGCCAGTTTTTTAATTTCAGTTTTGGGGGAGTTGTTTGCTTTATAGTGCTATCAAAGATGGTTTGTATGGAGTTTAAAATACCACATCAAAGCCTATTCTGCCTTCACTTTTTTCTTTTCTTTAATGATGGATGGTAAAACAAAGAAAGGTCAGCTAAGGGTAACTAAAGTATCCTAATTATGTCAAGGCCAAGTGTGCATTTTGTTACTGACTTAACTTTAGCTACAGAAAAAGCTACAGAAAGAGATGGTAGAGAGCATGCAAAACTTAAGGGTAGCAAAAAGCTGGTTGTTGTTTGCACATGAGACATGTTGTAATGTAGTGAAGACTATTTGAGATCAGCTTTGTGGTGACTTGTGTGGTGTACATGTCAGCTAGAGGGAAATACAGTGTTTAGCAAGAGTTTGTAGGAAGCAGATGGATTATCCTTATCTGTTGTAGATGGGAACCCTTAATAGCAGGTGAAGGCATAAACTGAGCCTTTAATAATGAGCAGAACCTACTCTCAAGCATCCTGTGCTCTTTGTTATGTATTTGACATAAATACAGCCAGATTTTAGTACTTATGAGAGCTATTTATATGTCTATGTATGTATGATGAAAGCATTCAAAACTAGGTAAACTTCAAAAATCAGGCATATTTTTGTATTTGATTTTGCTAATAGAGAGTTTTATGATGCTCTACACAAGGAGAAGCTAAAAAAAAAGGATTATAGGGAAGGGTGAAAGCTCATTACCAAAGCCACTACCTTCTGAAATACTATTGATATAAAATGTTGCCAGCTCTGTTTTCTGTCAACAGAGACCACTTGAATGCCCCCCAAATGAGGTAATATCTTTTATTCTTTAAGATCAATTTTTTAGATCTATTTTTCGGCATGTCTCTAATGTCAGTGATATTATTTTGTATAATCCTGTTGCCTGAAGCTAACTGGAGAAGAGAGAGACACATTGGATCTTATAGAGTCTCATTGGTAGCTCAGTTCGTTGGACCCCCAGAAAAAAAAAAAGTGCCTGTGTCCTGAAAAGAAGTTTAAGCCAAACAATTTTTCCTGGAAATGGCAAATAGTAGTCTATGTAACAAATGAAACAGGACACGTGCTGGGCACCCTTCAGGCTGAATTTGAAAAATTAAACTCCTAGACCTGTCAGGGGTAAAAAAGGCTCAGACAATTCACCATAAGTAATTACAGGATGTCTGGAAATGATGAAATGAAAACCATCAACATCTACTTTTCTTGTTTTGGGAACAGTGGGCCACCCTGCAGATTGAGGAGGGAGTAAAAAAGCAGAAGGCGATGGCACCTGAAAATTTAATCTCCACTGGTAAGATCTCTGGATGAAGGGGACAGCATTATTTACCTTGTAAAAAGGCAGCTATTTAACAATCTTACTTAGAAAGGAGTTTGATGAGCAAATATCTGTTGGAGTTACAAGCTACATAAGCATTTTATAAAAAAAGATAATCTCTGAGTTTTGTGAATAAAAGGAATTGGAGACTAGTGTGGGTGTAGAAAGACATTGCTGATAAGCATTTGAGAAGCATCCCTGTTTTCATGAGTGTTTTTTTGCTTTCTGGCTCCATCAGCTCTCTCTTTACAGGACTGGGAGGAATCAGTGTTCCTTCTGCTTGGTGTGGCTTTGCATGGTTATCTTTTGCTTGGTGTAACTCCTACCATGTAAAAAATTCAGAGTCTCTCAAGTAAAAGAGTTACAGCATCCCATGGATCACAGTTACAATTTGCATTCTTTTCTAGACATGAGGATAAAATCTAAATAATTTTTTTCCCCAACTGTTTTTCCTTTCTTCTTTGACCAAAGAGGAATGGGTTAAGTTTTCATAGTTATCCTTTTACTTGTAGTCCCATTTTTAGTCATTAGTCATCTAGGCTGCTTGGTTTGTCAGCTAATAATTTTCAGGTCTGATGATTTCCTGGGAATTGAAGGTTTTACTGAAGTGCAGATGGCGGAAAGTTTTGTGATTCTGACTGGGGGAGGTAGATTGATCAAGATGAATTAAACGTATTTTTACAATGCATATTTAATATCATCTAATACACCCCCTCAAAAAAAAACCAAAAAAACCCCCAACAAAACGGGGCGGGGGGGATGCAAACAAAATAACCGAGTGTTAGCTGGTATGAACCAAGATAATTTTAGTCACTATAACCTGCCAGATAAGAATCTGGTCTCAGAGTGACCTCAGCAGATATCTGAGACTTGCTGTGTGCCTGTCCTATGGGGTGTGATTTTAGAAATAGCAGAGCAAGAATGTCTTGTCATTCTTCCTGCGCAATGTGTCTGTGTAATGCTTTATATGTCTGGGGGCGGAAATCCAGGCAGTTTCAAGTTGGTTGGTAGTGAAGTGACCCTTAATGAAGGGATAGGGGAAGACAGAAGGTTCCAAGAAAAAAATGAAGAGTAAGGTGGTTTTTACAGCTGAGAAACAATAAAGTTAATCAGGAACAGTAAGAACAACAATCATAAAAACTCTGCCTGAATTTGAGTCTGGCACCAGGAGGGATTTGCCATCTTGGCAGTGTCTAGGTGACATTTGTAGGTGTGAGTGCATATGTTATTTGGTAAATGACAATGAAGTAGTTGTTGTGCTCAAGGTTTTATTTGCAGCTTGATTGGAATCCTTTTTTCCTTTCTCAGCAATTTAGGGGCGTTAGATGGCATAGGATTAGAGAAGTAACTTATGGAATGAGCTGTCAGTACATAAATGAAGCATAGCAATGCCATTATGGTGCTTGAGCAGGAGAAGAGCTGTTTCTAAAAAGCACACATATTTTACTCTCTTTGCAATCCATATTGTTCATTTCACCATGTGGAAGGACGGCTCATTTCCTCATGCAGGAATCATCCAGAGAGATGAGACCCCCATGGAAGAGGAGGTTGTTGGCCGGTGCCGAGGGTGTTTCAGCCTTGCTGATGTCATGTACTTCTCCAAGAAGGGCTGTGAGGCTGTTGCAGAAGATGAAGTCACTCACAGGTTCTCCTCCGAGGAGCTGCTGTCCTGGAATCTCCTCAGCAGAACCAATGCCAACCTGCACCATGTCAGCTGGAAAGTGGCTGCTGTGTGGGTCACTGGCATCCTAATTCGGTATTGCCTCCTGCTGCCTTTCCGGTGAGCCAGACAGAGTTTGTGGGATTGTTTCTCATGGTTCTTTTTACAGAAGTTGGGAAATAAGACACTATTGGCTAGGGGAGGAAGGAGAACCTGGCATGACCTTTCCAAGAAGCCATCTAAACTCAAATACCCCTAGGAAAAAAAAAGTAAATTTCTCACATTCCATATGTTTTATTAGTAATTAATTTGCTTTTAAAATCCAGCAAAGCTGGATTAAGGGGTTTGTGTGCTAGTTAGCTAGTGGGTTTTTGCTAGTTAGATGCTATTAATGCTGAAAGGAAGCATTGTGAAGTGAATCAAAGGGCCAAATAAGAATACCTGCTTACTTACTCCTCCAGTTTTCTTTCTTGGAGTTTAATTACGATTATTTTACTTTGTAGCATCTGCTTGTCTGTTTTCAGCATCCTGTTGCTGGTGTTGGCCAGTACAGTAGTAGGACAGTTTCCAAATGGCAGGTAGGTGTTTGCTGAGGACTCTTTCAATTTCTTTTGTATTTCTTCAAGGACTTGAACTAGTAGTTATAACGCTCTGCTGAAATCCAGAGGATTGATGTGGACTGTCATGGGGTGACTTTTTCTCTCCTGTAAAATTTTCTCTCCTGTAAAATGAGTGTTATGAGAGAGAGTTACCTGTAAAATCCTGTAAAATGAGTGTTGTGAGAGAGTTATGGCAATGGCATCTGAAAGCAGACATGCAGTGTGAGCCTTAGTATAGTCTTTGTAGTAACAGCAACTGGGGATAACTCAGAGAGTTCACATTGCATGTGTAACTCCAAAGAACTGGAAATGTACTTATGGCTTCATTTCTTCTAGAGTTAAAGGCTGGCTGAGCAACCAGGTCCAGATGATATGTGCCACCTTAGGTATCCGATGTCTGAGTGGTCTTGTTCATTTCCACAACAGGTAAGTGCTGCCACCTTGCCCTTATTAGTGTGGAATTTCTTTCCTGCAGTATTTAACATCTCAAGTTTTGGAGCAGGATTCTTATTCCATTACTGCCTGGATATTTTGGTGATGGTACAACCTGATCCAAAAAGCTGCTTAGATCATCCAGGCTCTGTCAGGATGTTCACATGCCCTCCTGTGTTTCCTGTTGTGCATTAGCATGGTGTGTGTAGATGATGTAGTACTGTCTTCAGACACTTAGATATTTTTCAGTGCTTGCCACCTGATTGGGCCTGCAGTCTGGAGTATAAACATTAACTAATTACTTTTTTGGTTGTCATTGCAGGGAAAACAAACCACAGGAAGGAGGCATCTGTGTAGCCAACCATACATCTCCTTTGGATGTCCTAATCCTGGCCAGTGATGGATGCTATTCCTTGGTATGAACAACACAGTTAATAAATATCAGTAATGTTGAGATGCCCATAGATGTAGCGTTGGGTAAGAAAATAAACTTCCTGAGAGGAAGATTGGGATTTGACAGGATTCAAACTCACATTCTGGACTGCAAAAAACCAGATGCAGGCAGGTGTGTGCACATTTATGACCAAGGGGATTGGTACAATTTGTCAATAAGCTTAGTAATGGTTGTATCTGCGTTTAGAATTTAATAATTTAAGTATGTGTGTGTGTTTGCTTTGTAACAAGTTTCTTTTGGGTTTTCAGGTTGGCCAGGTACATGGAGGGCTTATGGGACTTATTCAAAAATCCTGCATGCAAATCTCTCATCATGTCTTGTTTGAACGCTCAGAAATGAAAGACCGTCACCTGGTGAGGAAAAAGTAAGGTAGTGAGGTGTTTGCTTCATTGTCTGATCAGGTGTGGTAATTTCTCATCAGTGTTGTCATTTTTTGCCATCAGTTGAATTTTTTTTTTTTTTTTTGTGATGTATGGTGTTTTGATTTTGCTCTTTAATTCAGGCCAAAGAGGAGCTCCATGCTCTTGAGCTGTAGGAAAGACAGTTGTCTTGGAAAATGACAGATTTTAGTGTCTGTAATCTGCTTAGTGGTGATATTTGTTGTTTTAAGTGATGCAGCAAATGTAGTAAGATAGTGCCCTGTCACTTAACTAAATGTGGAGAATCATTAGATTCATGTAAAATGGATACTGTGAACCTAGAAAGCATGAAAACTAAAAATTTGCAATATATTTCAGTCTAAAGAAAGGCTTGACTGCATTCATAGCTGGAATCTGGGAAGTTATTTTCACACACTTCAAGTACCACCATTCTCTGGTTAAAATGGTAAAATAGATCTTCATACAGCTTTGTAGAAAATCTACTTTTTTAATTAGCAAGAGATGCTGAGATAAAGGCCTGAAACCAGAACATATTCCAGCTGCAGCAACTGACTGGGCAAAGGGCAATTGGGCAAGGGCTTTTATCATCCTATGTGAGAGGTAATGGATGTTTAGATTCTTGGACAAATATAAATATGAAGTATATACTGAAATTTTATATTCTCTCCACAGAATCAGTGAACATATTGCAGATAAGGCCAAGTTACCCATTTTAATTTTCCCAGAAGGTAGGAAGCAACTGTATTGATTGATATTGCTCTTCTCACTTCTTGCCATTGAGTGTGCAGTTTATTATATCCAGTCTTTAGAAGTGAGGTGTTTGTCTTTAGTTTGTAGAATTAATTAGCTCTTGGGAGATATTAAAAGTCAGGTTCTAGTATTTTACAAAGTTTCATGAAGTTTATTTGCTTTAGCATGTAATGTAATGAAGACATACAAGGCTCTGGGATTATGTTCCAGAACTAAAGCTTACTTTCTCCTTTAACAACTAAGTCTCCTTAAGACAGTTTAGGATTCGCTTCCTGATACTTTTCTTGGAGTGGATTAAGCCCTTCATCTATTTTAATTCTGACCAGGCACCTGCATTAACAACACATCGGTAATGATGTTTAAGAAGGGAAGCTTTGAGGTAGGAGGAACCATCCATCCAGTAGCAATCAAGGTACTGTAACTGCAGTTTTCAAACATGGGAGGGATTGTTTGCAAACGTTTCTCAGAGAAGCCGTTCATGTGTAACCCTTGAAAAGGAATATGTTTGGTGTGCATAAAGTACTAATTAAGCCCCAAGAGACTGTTGTGGTTTTAAGCAGTATGGGAAACACGTCATTTCTGTCCTGGTTCTTGTGTGCTCTGAGGATAAAGGCAGTTTTCTTGGAACTCTCTTTCTCAGTAGCTTTAGCCAGGTCACTCTAGATCTGGAAATATTTGTTACTTTTTCTGGAACTATAATGCAGCCTGATCTTATGGAAGTTGTTAAAAGTGTTGTGAGCATTGTTGAGGAAACCTTTGTAGTCAGCATATCTGTAGATGTTTTTATGTTTTGAATAAGTCTTTTGCTATAGGTTGTGTCATAGTTTGGGGTCGTGCATTGCTTGTAAAAGTTAACTGTTAGAAACTTGTAATAAATGTTGGAGCTTTACTCTGAATTTACTGATATTTTCAGGAGTGTGATTAGATTTGCCCCTTATTAAATAAGTTGAATTGTGACTTTGTGGCAAAAAAAAAAAAAAGCCGTTTATGTGATTTAAACCAAGGCAGTTTGTTTTTCTTGTCTTCCAGTATGACCCCCGCTTTGGAGATGCCTTCTGGAACAGCACAAAGCATTCCATAATGACCTATGCTTTTAATGTGTTAACCAGCTGGGCTATTGTCTGCAATGTGTGGTACCTGCCACCGATGGTCAAAGAGGTTCTTACTCTTTTCTATGTCTTGAAAGTGCTTGTGAAATGGAAGGAGGTCTGCATTACTACACATGGTGCTCTGAATCTTTACTGGTAACTTAATGGACAAAGGCCAGGAAGCAACACTACAGTCTTAATTTTAAGTGAGCATGGATCTATGTGGGATGCATCCCCTGCTCTGGCCAGGCGTGGAACCTCAGACTGTGTGTTGTGTGAGATTGTCCCACAATCCAGAGAGCCTCCCATGTAGGTTTTTTTTGGCACCAAATAGTGGCAAACCAGGATCAGCTGGAACTGCCCTGCAGGTCACGTTCGGCTTGTGGGTCTGGAATAAGCCCCAGTGCCTGCTGTCTGGCAAAAACCTCTCTTTAAGTGAGGCACAGAGAAAATGTCTATGTTGTAAAACAATTAATGAATATATTTTTTTCAGGAAGAAGAAGATGCTGTTCACTTTGCTGACAGAGTCAAGGCTGTCATTGCTGCTCGGGCAGGAATGTCTGTGCTTCCTTGGTAAGAAGCACCACCTCTGGAATTGTTTTTAAAGATGTTCTGTATTCTGAAACACTAGCATGGAATCCTTTAAAACCTGCTTTGTTTGCTCTGTAGTCCATCACCCTTACTGACTCTGATTCAGAAAATGTTACTTTATTACTTGAACAACTGCATTAGAATAAATAGAATAATATAGTAGATAGAGAGAAACAGAACTGACAGGTGGATCTAGACAGCAGGCAGTATTAGGTGAAAATTAATTGCTTGCCTGTTAAATGCTGGGTTAAAAGAAGGGTATTGTGGTATGGTAAGTCTTGGCAGTATAAATCACTAAGCTTTGTCTTACAGAAGTTAACATTAAGAGTGGAAACTGCTTTGACTACATAGTCTAAATATAGTAATGTTTTCCTGCCTTGACCCTGAAGTGAATTTAAAGCTGTTTCTTCTGTGTTTTGCAGGGATGGGGGACTGAAAAGGAAAAAAGTCAAAGAGTCTTTCAAGGAAGAGCAACAGAAAAAATATTGCCAGATAGTAATAGAAAATGGATCAGTGGGAAACGGAAATGTTTGTTAAATGCTATTTATTTTATCTCGTTTTTCTATGACTTATCTCTACCAGAAAATACTGGTTTGATATTAAACCCAACATGTTTTCCTTCTGTTCCTGTAAGATATTTTGCATGTGACACAGCAGGGAAACTATAAAGGAAACTATATAGAGATTTCCTTATTTAAAGCAAAGTACTATAATTTTATAAATAGGAAATCATAAAACATGCTAATAAAATTCTTCCTGATGCTGAGAAGAATCTACAGTAAAATTAATGAATTATGTTCATTAAAATACCACTTTAAAACACTTGCAATACCTTGAGGACTTAAATGGTTACTTATAATAAATCACCTCTGTACTGCAAGACTCTCTCAGGGACTTAGACTAGCAGTATTTCTGTGAGCCACAGTAACTGTGTTGCTCTAGAGACAGATCTCCTGAAGTCAGAAGACATGAAGCAGTTCACTAAAATATGTTTTGTGAATTGCATGTTGGAGAGGGAATGTTGGATGTCAGAGGGAAAAAGCAGATGCTGACTTTCTCCTCCATGTCACAAGACCAGGGATGGCATTGTAGAAAGTTTTCTGCTCTGAAAAAGAACAGAACAGTGTCCAGGGCAGCATGTCCCTGATGCCTGGGTGTGTGAAGCTGAGATAAATTAATCACAGCCAAGGACAGTGTCATAAAAAAAACACCTTGTGTTTTTAAATGATATCTTGTGGTTTTGTTAGATCCCTTTCTGAGTCTGTTTGTATGCACTGCAAAATTAAAGAAAACCTATGATGTGACATCCGCTGTCCTCTGCTGCTGTTATTTCTGGATAGCTTGCTTGTGTTATCTCTGGATGTGAAGGCTGAGGATTTGGCCTGAAGCCCATTCTCCAGGAACAGAGCAAGTGCACTTAAGGAGTGTGCAATGGGAACATTTCCATCTCCTATAGTATTTATTGGTATAAAATATCTGCTCTCCTGGTAAGTAGCTCTCATATGGAAGGGTCAGGCTTCTTTAACAATCTGAATGTCCCTAATGAAACACACACAGATAGCTGCAGTTTTGGCCAAGGTGCTCTTGAGACAGACCTTGGTAAGAACAGTTAATAATGTTTACATGACAGCAGCTTGTTGGCTGAAGTCTCAGAAAAGAGAGGATCAGTCTTGGTGAGAACAAATACATCCTACAGAGTGACAGATGCACAGATACAGCTCTGCCCAGCCGTGGAGAGTCTAGAAAAACAATATTCAGAATATCTACAGAAGTGATAATTGCCCTGAGGCTGTGTGGCACAAAGGTAGCAAGGAACTGAGCTCTCCTCTTCTGTGGCCAGGCCTGGCATTGCTACAGGTATGTGAATTTCTTTGGTGGGTCAGTCACTCTAAGTGTTGGTGTCATGGGTAAGTAGTAGGAGAATCTGCCCTTTTGCACAGCTTTTAGCCACTCAGGCAGTAAGGAAAATTGCCTCAGGCTCTCCTGCTAGGGAACAGGTCTACTTGCTCCCAGCTATAATAAGATGTACTTCCATGGCTATTTAAGATGTTGATTTATTTTCTAGGTATAAAAATGTGAAGAAATGTGATTGAAAATCCTGATAACTCTCAAATGTTTTCAGTGTGCCAGAGTTTAAAACTGTGAGATTTTCTTTCTGTGTGACTGATTTGAGTTGCTAACAGACTGCAGTAAGACTAGTGTTGAGAGCATTCTTCCCACACTACTGTGAGTTTTCTTCCTTCTCAGAGGTAAAATGGGAGACTGAACAGACAAAAAGAGTGGGCAGACACATGAAAATATAGGGAGATAAAGGACAACTGCTGGAAGATAAATTTTCTGCTTCTGTAAGAGATTAGGAGATTGATGTGCCTTTTTCCTGTCCTGCAACACTTCTCCAGCTCGTCAAGAGGAGCCTTGGAATGTGTGATCCTCATTATGGTTATGACTCCAGGTTGTGTAAAAGTAAAGCTCAGACCTCTGAATGTATGAGTATTACATGTCATCTGTGAGAGGATGACAGGATTGTCAGTATTTTCTCAGCCATTTTTTGGCTATCTTAGCAAAACAAGCTGAAAACTCTGTGAAGTGGGTACTTAGATATAGAATGGGGAAATAGAAAGCAAGTGATGAACCCACGAACTTGTCAATTACAAGTGGAGTGTGCTTTCTTAGCTGCTGGTAAAAATGCCAATCTGACTTGAAATAGAGACTACTTTGTCTTGCCCTGCTTTAAAGAAGTATTTCTGATTTTTGGTGTTATTTTCTCCATCTACCTTCCACCTCCTCCTTTCTTTTCTCTTGAAATGCAAATGAAATACAGGATATATCAGCAGAGGCCTTAGCAATTGCTTTTACCTGAAATTGTATACTGCCCTTAGACTGCCAAGGTTATGGAGGAATTTATTATTATCCAAAAGGTCTCCACAGATAAATGTGTTTTCCTCCTCCACCAGAAGGGCATGGTAACAGAGAAAAGAACATGTTCTTATGACAACAACGTAAGTGGGAAGCTGACAAACAGCTTATTTTTCACAATCAAGGATCTTGCACTCGTGTTACTCCTCCTCTTTACTTATCTTTCACTGGTCTTGCAGGAACCAGGCTTCTAAACTATTAGAGCTCTTCTTTTTTACCATATATCTTTGCAGGATCAAACACAGCATGGTCTCATGCTGACAAATGATAGGCTAAAATGGAAGAAAGTGGAAAATTTGGGTAGATCAGGTAGTTAATGCTCAAAACAAAGCCAATCAAGGAAAAAAAACCAAAAAAACCCAAGCTCTGTCAGTGTAAGTAATGTTTTTGCTTGTTTTATTTTTTAATTTATTATCTGATAGCTGTGCAAACCACATAGACAAGATGTATCATCTTGGACAAGCCTGTGAGCTCTGTCTTCCTCCAGAGCACGAATTTCCTCTGTTTACCATTTAATGTATTAACCAAGGAGCCTTTTCCTTTTAATTGGCTGGATTATCTCATCTCGAAATTAAATAAGATACAGCTAATAAGTGCAAATAAGTGCAGGGAAAACCTACATTCTAGGTAGCTTTGCTTTGTTATTTTGTGCTGCAGGTTCAAACCTTTGTTTGAAGCATGTGAGGGATGCTGTTGCTGTGGCATTAACGCATGAGGAAACTGAAACAAACCACAGTGGTCCAGAGTGCATTCATCCCAAACTTGAGCTGCCTAAGTTGAAAATAAATGTAGGTTGGAATTAATGAATAAAATAACTCCCTCTCACTACGTGGGTGGGGCAGAGAACGAAAATAGCTGCTGCTTCTAATTCTTGAAGATATCACTGTTTTAACAGCTGTGTGGAGGGAAAACCAGATATATTTTTGAAAGTCGTTCTTTAGGTCCATAATGAAACTCAGGCAGTGTGCTCATTTTTATAATAATCTTTCCCTGTAACGTACTTGCAATACTGGTTGATGTAGCTCAAGTCCTTTATCCCCTCGGCTCCGAATGTCTTTTTCTACCGCTGCCTTAGATTTGGGAACGTTTAAATGCTTATTTCCGACTTTTCCCGGCTGGCTGGCTGTTCAAGGTGCCCCTTGTGCTGAACATTAGAAAAGATGTGCAACGGGGGCCATCTGGTGGTGTCCGGACACCGGTAGCAAACTGGCACCGATACAAGAGCACTGCCTGCTCTCCCATTTTCAGAAAACCGGGAAAACGTAGGAATAACGTTGAATACCCCAAACATTGCATTTTTGAACCTTGGTCGTGGTTTACCACCCGCAAAACTTGTGCTTGCTTGAAGTTTCAGCAGCCTTTGCTGTGTGGGGTTTCTCCAGGCCATCTCTTCCCTGTCACAAACCGAAATCAAAACTACTTCTGTCATTTACTTTGTTTAAAATCGGGTAGGGGTCTAACCTCTGAGGTTTTTTTTATTATTATTTTTTTTTTTATTTTATTTTTTTTTTTAATTTTTATTTTTACACTGAGTAGCCGTGACAGACCTGGGATGATCCTGGAGGCAGTACAACATTAACATTTGCTGGGATATTTCATCAGTACCTTGATGCTGTTTAATCTTGTTCTGCAGCTGGGGAGATGCTTTCAGAATTAGTTTTCAGGATAATGAAGATGTTCAGAACTTGTTTTCTACCAGCATGCAATTCCTTGAGCTGTAGTGAGAACTACAAACTGTTAGTGCCAAATTCAAACTCTTCCATGTGCAGTTTATCCTGAACAAAGCCAAGAAGGGCAGCCTGGTCAGCTCCTCACTCTAAGAAATGTATTTTGGGTACATGTGCAGTCTGAGACCTGATTTCAAGCAGAGCAATGGAGATTGGTCACATGTGTCACAGATAAGACCTCTGGGGTTTCTGGCCTCTTGATTTTCTTTTGGAAATGTTTCTGCTGAGGTGCTGTTCAGACTCTTTGGAGCAGGTTTCCCAGCTGTAGCACAGATTGTGGAGATGACCTGTGAGGAGTTCACAGGTGTTCCAACATTTGGTGTTGGAAAAGGAGGCTTGGAAGCTAGTGGACATCCAGCATACAGAGGCATTCCTGGCTCTTTGGTTTTTTATTGTTTCATTTCACAGACAGGCAGGACTTTAGCTTTGTAGCCATTTCTCCTCTCCCCTCCTCCTCTATTTATTATTCTATTTAAGGATGGCTCCTCAATTAGTGTACTAAGCTCCTCTGCGAGCAGAGTTCATTGTGATCAATTGTCATCAAGGCTCATGTTTAGTACATCCAATCAATGCTATTCTATATAATGGCTGTGGTATTGACTGATTTGTAATTTTACAGTATGTTGAGCCCTGCTGAACTCTTTTAATATGATAATTGCTTTCCTAATCAGTAGTCATGATTTGTGTGCAGTTGTGGATTATTGATATCACTTGATACCCCCTGGTACTTCTATTTGACAGTATGAAAGATGCATGTGGTAAAAGACATGTAATATCTAAACTGTGGCTATTAATCAGAATAATATTGGGAAAATTACTATATCCTTGCATATCAAACTATTTAATAACCTACTTCTAAAAAATTTGGAAATATATATTTCTTTTTATAAGGGATATTTATTAATATCTTTTAAATTTATACAGACATCTGTTGAACAGCTCTTTTTGTAAGCATTCATTAGTTCACACATTAAATACTGCATTTATCAATTATATAATAGATTTTTTTCCTAAAATGCTCATCGTAAGTAGCTATGGGCAACCTCCTTTTCTCATATAATTTATGACTTTTAATAAGATGTA